GGTAACTTTCTTTATAGTACTGGATCCTTATAATATCCAATATTTCTTCCGTGTATCAGCAAGTACCTGTTGTTTATTAACTTACCGTTTAAATTATGGTAATGACGAATAATCAATTCTGTCACGTGACTATCGTGGGGAAGGATAATCGAGCACGTATCATATGCTTTATATGTATTTCTTCCATGAACAAGTATGGGGTTTGATGTAGCTAATCTATTGTCTCTTTTTGCAGAATTACCTTTGATAATATCGTTCAGTTCAGTTTAAAGCTTGAGTTCTGTATTCGTCGTAATATAGCGTAAGTTGCGTTCTTCATCTCAGAAACGGTAGGATTCCTCTTTTTGGTTGTTCATTCAATGTCAAGTGATGTCATCTGCAATATGTTATGAATCTCAGTAACCAAGCAACTTCTCCAAGCAACAGTGTCCAATCGGAAAAATAGTTAATGAGGTCTTTTTTATGAGGTCCTGTGTACGATGCGGTGGAATTTACAATAATCTCTCTCTTAACTTCGGAATCATCATTTGCAATTTGTAGCTTATGTGGGAATTTTAGGCCAAGTCGATTCGTCTTGTAATAAGTATTTTGGTCCCTCTAGCCATATTTTAAGACCATGAATGTCATTTGGATGGATGCCCCTTGAAGCAATATCAACAGGGGTCGAACCGAAATCGACATAACGCCACTTTTCAGGGGATGTAGTCTTGAGAATGTAGCTCATTCTATTACCGTGGAATGTCTTAAATCGTCTGTTATTATTGTTTATATATCCAAGTAATATCAAAGAATCCGTCTAGTATGTAACTTGGTCGACCTTGGTCGACCTTTAAGTCAAGTTCTTCTGATATCATAGCATAAAGGCGGCATGCCACTACAGCTCCACACAGCTGCAATCTTCGAATGGTTGTTTGCTTTATTTCTGCTTATCTAGATTTACCAATAACAAAACTGCATGAAATTCCTTTCTGTGTATCCGTCAATCGTAAGTATGCGCATGCGTCATAACCTGTCTCTAAGCCATCGCTGAACACGTGCAGCTGAACGTTCTTCAATTTACTGGACTGATTTGGACGGAAACAACGGTCAATACTATTTTTTTCTAACGATGGTAGATTTGCTATTCACTGTTGCCAATCTTCGATTTCTTTCTGCGGAATGGTTTCACGCCCCCCTAACTTCTTCCTACAAATGCTCTGTACAATTGCCTTAACACGCACCGTCAAAGGTGATACAAGTACTAGTTGATCAAAGACCGCACTAACTATGGAAAGAATTCCGCGTCATGTTAAGGGTTTATTGCTTATTTTAATCTTAAATGTTATTTCATCGTCATTGACACTCCAATTGACGTCTAGCGCACGATCACAAGGCAGTTCGTCTCCAGGGTTAAGGCTTACGACCGTCGGCGCACGTTCAGATTCCGTAATCGTACCCTCCGACTGTTGCTTATCCACTTTGTGAGTCTGAAGCCACTTCAGCTCGTCAGGGACTGTAAATCTGCTGCAAGTTTAACAGCTTTATCTTCAGATTCTACAGACTTCAGGCAGTCTTCTACGTAAAACTTTCTCTTTACAGTTGATAATACTGCAGCTTCAAATCTGTCTGCATTGTCAATGGCAGTTCTTTTCAGCGCAAACGCAGAGCAGCTCGGAGAAGAAGTTGCTCCGAATAAGTGGACTTTCATACAATAAGTCATGGGTGTTATAGATAAATCTCCACCAGGCCACAATATAAAACGTAGGACATCACAGACCTTCTCACATACACGTACCTGGTGAAACATTGCCTCTATGTCAGCGGAAAGAGCTACATTTTCTTGTCGAAACCTGGTTAATACGCCTACAAGGCTGTTCATTATATCAGGACCTTGTAAAAGTTCACTATTAAGTGAAATACCTTTATATTTTGCCGCACAATCAAATTAAACACGCACTTTTCCGGGCTTATTCACGTTTGCTACAGGATGGTGGGGTAAATACCATATCTGTTCTGAGTTCGTATCCTTATTTGTCACTTCTTTTGCGAATCTTTTTCAATATAGTCTGTCATTGTTTTGGTATACATTTAATGTAACACGTTGCCACGAGAAAGTTTTCTTTTGAGGTGATTCAATTACGCATGCGAAAGTGCTAAATTATTCGGCAATTTTTTGTGACCCGGTCGCCATGGTCATCCCATCTCATAGTGTCCATAAACATGAGAAAGTGTAGATTCCATTATTCCAAGTGCTCTCTTATCTTCAACATACATGGAATTTTTTTCATTATAGATGCGTCATTGAAGTCTGATGTCCATATACCTTCAAGTTGTTGTTGTAGTATGGCGTCACTTGACTGACCGAAATGAATGTTAATTGGGGTTCTTCTGTTGTCTGTTTTTTGGAACTGGTCAACGAACTGCCCAACCGAGTTGCGTTCTCACTGCATATGGCTCATTACTACTTCCTGATCGTATATCTAGGGGAATATTAGCTACCGGTGTATCCGTGCCATTTAGTAACATGACTTCATTAACGTTCACATTCGGAATATTCAAGTCACTTAAATATGGTATATTTCTAATATCATCGACAGTAGCTGCAGATCGCGTAGAAATAGGCAATAGTTTTACTGTCCAAACATTGTAAAGCTTCACTTCACTTTCACCGGAATTAAAACTCACAGTCAGGTCAACTTCTTCTTTTCCGTGTATTGCGTTCCTTGTTGAATTAACAGTTGAAATCTGGAAAGTAACTGGCCTACTAGATATATTCAGCTTCCGTATAAGCTTTTCGTCACACAGGGTTTTGTCTGCACCATCGTCAAGCAGGGCATAATTATGTTAGACAGAAGTAACCGTCCCTACCTTTTACAGATACAGGTATAATCCCCAAACATGTTTTAGAAAATGAGCCATTTGTGGCCTTACAATTAATTGAAGGTTGCGTTACAGACATATCAGAACCTACCGGGAACCAGCTTTTAATAATGTATGATGTTTGCTGCTACAATCAGGTATATCACATGATTTCTCTTTCCTACACTCATTAGACATGTGATTGCGTTTAAGACAATTGAAACACAATCTGTTCTTAACAACATATTTCTTTCTATCTGTTAAAGTCATTTTCAAAAGGAACTTCCGTTATATGTAGCGGCGTTAAACGTTAAAGCTGAAACTGTATTTTAAAGGTTTCGATGTGAAAGACATTATAGACGATAATTGTAAAGGATTTCGGATAACAACTAGACTTTTCGAGTATGCGCTTCTATATATCTTTCATTTTCACACATCAACATAAACAAAGCGATGATTCTCTACAAAACGATTCATAACAAACAATATCGTCAAAATGACGCGCTAAACTGTTCAGCGCGTAACGTAAAAAAATTTGCGCCAACAAAAAATTAACGTCAGAAATATATATATATATTAATTAGAATCGGTAATAAACGATTTGTACAGTAGGCCTCTATATTTGACATAAAGCATTGCCTAGTAGACCTCCACAAGAATTGAGTCATGCACTTAGGGTAAAAATGCTTCCACTTGGAGGTCATGTAGTATTGTAAGGATATTACAGATAAAACATTTTTATACCCCCGCACAACAAAGTTGTCAGGGGGTATACTGGAATCAGCTTGTCCGTCCGGCCGTCCGGCTGTCCGGCCGTCGCCGTCCGTCGGTTTTTTCTTGTCCGCCCAATAACTTAAGATTCCTTTGACCCACATTCTTCATATTTGGCATGGAGGTTATTCATGATTAGTTGATGTCCCCTACTGATTTTGAGGCCACCAGGTCAAAGGTCAAGATCACAGGGGCCTTGACTTCAAAAAGATTGTCCGCCCAATAACTAAAGATTCCTTTGACCCTCAGTCTTCATATTTGGCATGAAGGTTAGTCATGATAATTAGATGAACCCTAATGATTTTGAAGTCACCAGTTCAAAGGTCCAGGTCACAGGGGCCTTGACTTCAAAAGCTTGTCAGCCGAATAACTTAAGAATTCTTGGACCCACAGTCCTCATATATTTAGCATGGATGTTAATCATGATTAGTAGATGACTCCTAGTGATTTTTAGGACACTGGGTAAAAGGTCAATGTCACAGGGGACTTGACTATAAAAAGCTTGTCTGTCCAATAACTTAAGATTCCTTTGACCAACAGTCTTCATATTTGGAATGTAGGACAGTCATGATTAGTAGATGACACCTTTTGATTTTGAGGTGACTGGGTCAAAGGACAAGGTCACAGGGACTTTGACTTCAAAGAATTTGTCCGCCCAATAACTTAAGAAATTTGTGACCCACATTCTTCATATTTGGCATGGAGGTTATTCATGATTAGAAGATGACCCCTATTTATTTTTACCTGGTCCCTGGGTCAAAGATCAAGGTCCCATGGACTTTGACTTCAAAAAGATTGTCCGCCCATTAACTTAATATTCTTTTGACCCACAGTCATATTTGGCATGGAGGTTGATCATGACTATAAGGTGACCTATATTGATTTTGAGGTCACTGGGTCAAAGGTCGACTAAAAAGCTTTACCCCTCAATTGCTTAAGAATGCCTGTCCGCAGTGTATGGATTTCGACATTTTCACGTTTGAAGCATGTAGAATACAAAGCACTGGGGCTTAGTTACCTTAGATTTGGCAGGGACGTTGTCTTTGAGCTCTAAATAGCCACTGTTGATTCTGACAAAGTGGTATGTGGGAGTATTCACGCCATGACAGTGGCAGTTCTAGTTCTGACAAGTTTCTTGATTGGGTCTCTATCCTGATTGAAAGATCATTTTTAATTACTCTGAAAAAATAACATTCAGGCGTATATTTCCCCGCTTTTGCAGTGCTCTTGTTAAATGTTTGTTTTACAACCAATTGTATTTAAAAATCATTGTGTTTATTATATTCTGATTAATGCATTGTTTATTTTATTTGACATATGCTTTAAAGAATCTATCAATGGACATTTAGAATAATAATATTTTAATGATTGATTATTATTTGCAATTACAGGGCGACGAATGATAAGAAAAATTTACAAAAGAAATTTGTCCTTGAAGTAAAACTGCGAAAAGTTCAAAAAAAAGAGTAAGAAAATTATTTAATATCTATAGATATTTTTAGGCTACAATTGTTCCTCATTATAATGTTGATGAAATGCAGTCAAAAATAAAAGAAAGAGAAAAAAGGGATTGAAATGAAATGTATTATAAAAAGACAAATGTTACTATATCAAAACCAAAAGCAAATAAAACTGTTGAATACAATGAGAAAGGTAATAATTATAACATTTATTTTCAGAAGACAAAAGCACAAGAGAAAATCAAATAAATTATCCAATCAAATGATATACAAGATTAAATTATCTCGGAATAATTTTAAAAACAAAATACAATAAAGGAAACCCACAATGTGTAAATCTAAATAAAGAGCTGGCACTAAAAGCAACGAGGTCCAATTATTTTATTGCTCCGTCTATTACGACATAATGATGCATGTTAATCAATATCCAGTTACACATGGTGAAATAACAACCAGATTTCATAGAATAATTCAAAAATATGGTAATAATTGCTGCATTATGTCTATCTTTTTTTTTGATATTGAAAACTTGAATGATGTGACTCGTAAACAACAATCAACTATAAAAAAATTGCAATATAGTAGCAAAGATATTGGCAAATAAGGTACCTATCAAATCATAATACACCATTGGTTTTAAATTCAGACATTATAAAGATGAACATGATAATTTTCTTACAACGTTTTCTTTTTATGATATTACGATTACATATATAGATTTTGGTCTTTTCAAAAAAATTTGTATTAACAAGCTGTTTCCTTAAAACATTGTTCAGGGGACAAATACTTTAAGGTCCTTCGGGATCATTGACTCCAGCATTTTGAAGTGCTGAGAATTGAGTACCGCTTAAGCCAATGCTAGGGGGCGTAAGGAATGGTGCACTTTTACATTATCCCTCATGTACAGACTCAATCAAATCGAGTCTGCACCGTTTTTTATGCTTCCGATGGGTCACTTTCTTCCAGATATTTATATTATCCACAAGTTTCTACTTTTCATTTGTGTGTTTATGTCATCTACCAATTTCTATTTTATTCTATGACAGGAGTCCTGAAACGTGATAAAGATTCAATATTTACAATTGAAAATAACAAAATAATAAGTAACTTTTATGTTTTATGTTTTAATGAATCTCTTAGTATTGTGTACCAACCTTCATACTAATTTCCAACTTACTATGTGAACATGTAAATTTACCGACATACGAACTAAAGTTAAACAATATGTGTTATTTCGTGACAGAACCTTTCGATACATATATGATATTTATAGGTTATTTTAGCAAATAATCAATTAATTGAAAATGAAAATCTCTCCAAATCTAAATACATCTGTAGCAAACATTGGCTTTCAATAGCAACCATTTGCTATCAATAGCAACCAATAACTCCCATAGCAACCATTTGTTTTTTATACCAAACATTGACTTCCATAGCAACCAGTGACTTTTCATAGAAGCAACTGACTTTTCATATCAAATTGTGACTTTCCAAAGCAACCATTTTCTTCCATAGCAATTTTAACTTTCCAGTTTCCATAGCAACGAGTGAATTTACTATTGAATTTCAGAGCAACCACTGACTTCCAAGGAAACCATTGATTTTTGTATAGAGACCATTTACTTTTATATCAAATTTTAACTTTTTTTTAACTTTCAATAGCAACGAATGAATCTCCTATTGAATTTCAGAGCAACCATGTAAACATTTGATTTTGTATAGCAATCATTTGTTTCTGTAGAAACAATTGTTACTCTTAGCATTGGCAACCAGTAATGTTTTACGTGTGCACTTTTCAGATACATCTATAAACGTTGCGAGATAAATGAAATATTTTATCTGCTTTTCATTTATAGTTTATAGTAATACATGTTCCTTGTAATAGTCAGGTGAGGGATATATGGGGTTTCATGGCCCATGTTAAAATTTTCATTTGAATTTTTTCAGAGCTCAAAGCTGTATTGCGTTTAGCTTTACTATCAGCTCCTCAAATTAAGAAATATGTTGATACCTTCGTTAAAAGTGTCACACATGTTGAAAGTGCAAATATAAATCGGCTTTCCTCTTTGCCTGAGTTTCATATTGCTTTTTAAAAATTTAATCGGTTTGTAATTCAAAACCAAACCAAATATGAACTTTCACTACGTTGCATTTCTTCATCTTATATTTTTATAGTTGCAATGAAATTGGTTTATGCGTCCGTTTATCAACCATAATAATACTTTTTAACAATTTTTTTACAATTTACTAGCTTCACAATACTTATAACATAGGCAAGTTACGTGTTCACTCCATCAAGGTTTAACCTTCCTCTTTCTATTACAATTTTAAAGGTAACATATTTTATTTGGGTCCTCACTGAGCTTTGAAATAAGATTTTGATCTTGAAATATTGACATTATAGTGCAGAGATAGAAATACAAACACTACGAAAGAAAATAGAGGAGCTCGAAGAGACTATTCGGAGATTAGATGGAGACGAAAGCAGAAAGTAAGAAATTCCATATATTTTATGTCTCAAAATGGAATTTGCCTTATGATTATGTTTAATTTAAAGTACGTATGTATTCAACAACTTTTTGATGTTTGAGTCTGCAGATCTCTTGTAATTTTGTTGTGATGTATGCTTCCGAGGGATCACTTTGTTTCCAGATTTTTATACTCACAACAACAGGTGTCCAGTGCTGTGTGGCAACTGTTGCACCATAGCTCACTTCAGTGTTTTTATATATTTTTTCTGGTCCTTCGGGATCATTGATGCCAGCACTATTAAGTGTTGAGAATTGAATACCGCTCAAGCCGGTGCTGGGGGCTTGAGGGATGCTGCACGTATTTATTATCCCTCATGTACAGACTCAATCAAACCGAGTCTGCGGTTCTCTTGTAATTTTGTTGTGATTAATGCTTCCGAGGGATCACTTTGTTTCCAGATTTTTTTAAACATTTAAATTGAAATCCTATAAGCGTCAGACGCGTCAAAAGTTACAACTAGAGCTTCGTCAAACGACCCATTAACGAGTAATAAGCATTTATGGCTAAAAGATTATTTTCCGAATACGAATGAGCTTCTTTAATCATATGAAAAAATAATGTTTATTTCAGACACTCAAAGATCTGCGCTATCATGAAGCAACGACAGGGATGGGACGTGGATGAAAAGCTCAAAACTAAACCAAATGAAATACATCCAAAAAGTCAAATGAATTCACGCGTTCAGTAAACAACCCAAATTTAATGAAATTTATTATTTCTATTTTATCTATATACCTTCTCACTATTGTAAAAATAAAATATATGTATTTTTGTATATTCTTGTCTCATTGTCTCTGTGCGTTGAGTTAGAAAAAAGTTGTGTGTTGTTGCTGTCAATTTGTTAGCCACATGTTTTAGTGATATTAGTAGTAAACAAAGCAAATAGAGTGTTACAGTCCGCTAGAGACAAATATGATATGACCCGGGGGGATAGCCAATGATAATGCACATTTTTGTAAGCTATATTCTTCCACATGCCCGATCAGCAAACTATGCTATCAATGTTTTAATATTGTAAGCTACAGGAGTAATGTATTTGTTGTCTTTAACTAAAACAATCTTACATTCGTTGTCATAATTATATGACATCAAATTTAATTAAACGAGTCCAAGAAATTGCTAAACAGCGAGCCTCTGACAACAAACGCGTGATATTTTATCGCGTGACCAAAACAAAGAAATAAAACAAAATTATCTACAAAGCAGATAAGAGTCAAATTGAATGATAAAAGCTTTTAATATTGATTATTTATACTTTAAAACCAACGAAAAGTAACAAAACATAAAATTAACAGTAAACTGTAAACATTTGATGCGAACAAACAATTAATCATTTAATTCCAGATATAATTTACACGCAACCGCCTCCGTGGTCGAGGGGTTAGAGTCGATGACTTCTTTTCCAGTTACCTCTCTGGCGTGGGTTCGATTCCCAGGAAATGCTTTGGTAGTTTAGCTAGGAGGAAGGTAGTCTAGTACTGTTGTAACTCTCCAGGAAAGATGGTTAGGAAACTACCCGCCGATATGACTGAAATACTGTTGGGAAAAGGCGTAAAATGAAACTAATAAACAATATACGCATCAGATTTCCAATCGCCAAAATGTTGAATAAGTGTTTGAGACACCCTAACCTATGAGCCATGAGTAAGTGGTAAAACCACGACGAAAAATATGAGTACTATTAATGAAAGGTTCCAAATGAATCAATTTGTTTATTCTGAAAACGATTATAGGTAACCAATTGACCTTCTGGCAGAGTGAATAATACTTTATGTTTGGGACAAATGTTTATTGCTAAAAAACGATCATAAGCAGCGACAAGACACAATCTCTTGTCGCGCAATCTAACCAAATGAGATATGAGTTCTCTTTCACAAAATTGAATTTGTTTAGACCAATCAAAAATTAACTTAAATATTATTACCAAAATACTGCACATAAGCTGTACTGATCATTGCCTTTGACATCCAATTCGGAATATTGCACTAAATAAAATTTACGAAAACTGCAAAAAGAAAAAGGCAATATAATCTGACAATGAGAATTGAATTCAAATGTTTTTCTAGTTTTTATAGTGCTTAATCTTTAAAGTAATGGGTTCTGCTTGTTTAACCGACCAAAGGTTTAACCTCGCTATGTCCTTGTAAGACAAGTTCAACAAATATGAATTAATATGATCAACTCCATAACCTAAAATCAAATAAAGAGTTCTAACGGCATTGATATAATTTTAATTTAGTCCGCAAACTTAAATGACCTACTAAAAGATTGTGCATACAACTGCAAGGAGCTTGTAGATGCTCAAAAAGCATAATTTGGAATATACACAAAACAATAAAAAAAAACTTTCCCACTGAATACGCTAATTCTTCTGCATACCAAAATCAAAGGCTGATTCGTTTTTTCTCAAGATCCTGAAACAAATTATCAAACTCAATGCCTGGAAAAAATATAAATTAAGGCAGAAGATCGTAAATCCATAGAAAGAACACTATAAAAATGATGTTTCCAGATAAAACCTGCTAGATTATAGCTAGAAGGGCAAATATTTTTTTGCCTATAAGCTATGCACAGATCTAACTTGTATAGGAGACAATCAGGACCTTTAGACTTGATCAAAGAGATAAAATCGTCTACGTAAGAACAATTCAAACCTACTCGTTCACCTTAATTCCTTGAAACAAAATCATTCGTTCCTGTACTATCTTGAGGAAAGCGCAAATCTAATATCTAAAATCACCTTACGTTCATTAGGATTAGATCAAGGCACATTATGTAGTAGGGAATCACCATACTCTCATCAAGACATGAAGAAAAGGGGGCAATAATGGCTTCATATGCTAAAATGAATAATCAAGCAACTTGAGGAAAATTTAAAGGACCAACGTGATTTGTATCTCTGTATGATTTACAAAACAGAACTTCTTTAAAATCACTCTTTACTTCAATTGGAAACCCATACTTCAAAAATTCAGAAGGCTGAACATCAAAATAACCCACAAGCATACGATTCATGCAATCTGTATCAAGTAGAGTATAAATAGGAATAAATATCAACCCTCAAATCAAAATTTACCTGAAGCCTTAACTTTAAAGCACTGGCTTCTTACAAAACTCTGAAAGAATCAAATTAACAAGATCTGGTGACTGACTGTTATAATCATCACAAAAATGCATAGACAAAATACCATTGTCCAGTTACTGGTTAGTATGAGGGCATGCACTCAAACAATCTGGATGAAGTAACTCTTTCTTATCCATATACCAACAAGTGGCACAAATGTGTTTAGCAAATTGATACCTACCCACTTTAGTGACAATAACATCAGAAGACCCTTTAGAACATTTGTTGCGTTGATACTTGTTACAAAACCACAATTTTAATCACAAGTAGAACCAGTACTAGTATTATATTCCTGGGGAAGTGTTTAAGCAGGTAAGGGTCAAAATTGTGTACTATCAAATGTTGCAAGAAAAGGGGCAAAAGGTTGAAAAGAAAAGAGTAAATAAACTGCCTTAGTAGCATTTTTTTTTTCTGCATGTACTATTTAGAAGTCAAACAATTCAATTAGATTTATCCAGCAATTTTCAAATTCTTCTAATGTATTATCTTGTAACGCAACAAATCTTTCAATTTTTAATCTGTTTAAAAATTTTCTTTTGAAGATACTTATATTTGGAGGGTTTTTTTAAATTTACTGGTATAAATGTATAGAAGAATGCATATCTACAAGAGGAGTACGCCGCGTGCAGCGCGGCGTCTAATAATGCCATGTGACATCGTATTAGACTTTAGAAAACGTAAACGGTTTATGTGAGGTATAATAAAGAAAAGTAACTGTGCAATGCAAATTTTATTAATAAGATATTGTTGCGTCCCTTTCGTTGAGCAGGGCAACATGTTTAGTTAGCTCTGTGCTATCACAAAACCTCACACATCAAAAGCCTCAATGAATAAGATCTTGTTGTTGTGCAGGGATACATAAAAATTTTCTTGCATAGCAGCCAGGATTATCTATTGTTTACACCGGTGCTAGAATATAAGGATCTTATAGCGACTGCCGGTTGAGACCGGAATATCTTGCTCAAGGGAATTGTTTATGGCGGTAACGAGGCTCCGCCGAGTTTCCCTGAGAGCTAGATATTCCTCTGGGTTTTTCTTGCATATTACAAATTAATGATATTACGAAAAGAAGTTACAAATACATGCACCCTTTTCATTTAGCACCTTTTTCTGATTGTAGCATATATTTTTATAGCTTGTCACATATTTTTTTTTTATTTTATCTCTTATAAACCAGTCTTAAACTAACCACTTATTTCTTAAGTATACATTGTACTATCAAGAAAAATGCCAAATATCAAAAGCCTCAATATTTTAAAATCACAGTGGAAAAAAATACCTTGTATAAGTATAGACCCGTACACTCTGTTTTTTTTAATCAATACATAAACTAATACAGTTGCTGTACAAAACATAAAACATCAAAATATTGCAATGTATTGCATTTATATTACTTTAAACTTATTATAGCTGAACAACATGCAGAACATTGCGACATTGCGCGAAGGTGAGACATGAAGGGGGGTATCTTTGATCCATTTATAAGACAACAACAACCAAAACAAAAGAAAATCACAACAGCATTTAATTCAGTTTTTGAGAAATAAATAAAAACCTTTTACAACAGGGTGCACCAATTACCTTTAAGGATATCTTTTGTTCTTATGGGAATTCTATCTTATTTTTTTTTTTGGGGGGGGGGGGGCACAATTCATTATTATCGAGTGAGCATTCATAATTCTCAAGGGGAATTATAATTCTCAAGTGGCATTTGATTCTCGAGAGACATTCATAATTCTCGAGGGGCATTATAATTATCGAGGGGCATTCATAACTTTCGAGTGGCATTTATAATTCTCGAGAGGCATTATTATTCTTAAGGCGCATTCGTAATTTTTGAGGGGCTTTCATAAAATTCTCAAAAGCACTCATTTATCTCTAAGGACCATAATTATTGCCGTGTGTATTCATGTTTATCGAGGGAAATGTAGTTTGTATGTGAATATTATAGTGTTGATGTAACATGTACAAATTCAAAATAAAATAATGTAAAACAAATGTTATTGATTACAGACACAAGATTAATGTTTGTTATTCAACCTTTTTGAACACATGATCAGGCGACAGAAAATTTTACAATTAAACATATGGTACCTTTTAATTGGCAAAAAATTGTTGTTGTCAAAACAAAGACAATATCTGAGGCCGTGGTGGAAATATTTGATACAATAGATTTAATTTCTATCATGATACAAAAATTAACTTTCTTAGTATTTGGCCGATTTTCATATTTTTACATAAAAATGATCGACATTGTATATGAAATACATTTGTATTTTGAAAAGAGAAAATTAAACGATGTTTTCTTATCTTTAGCATGAAAGAAAGATGTAAAATTGCCATACGTAACATTTATTGCTATTTGATTAAGCCATTTGAATAAATTATTCCAAAATATTTGTACTGTTTGGCAGTCCCAAAATAGGTGCTCTATACTTTCAACATCCATACAGCAAAAATCACAAAGACTAGATTCGGTTAATTAACATTGAAGGAGAAAGTTTTGTAAAATATTATCTGTGCAATAAATAAAAACGTTTTCGTAAATATTTTGCCATTGAAATTCTTTTTTGAGGAAATCATTCTTCCCATATTATTTGCGACTTTGTTCTTTTATTTTTACAGAGCCTTATTTGCTTGTTAACTTGTTACT